CCTCTTTCTTCATTGACTCCAATCAGTCTTATGTTATTCTTCTTTGCATCATCTAGCAGCTGCTGGATTAATTTCTCATGGTCCCTTATAATTTTGAAGCAATTTTTCTTTTCCTGGTCATTAATTGCAATCTTATCTCTGTATCTGATATTCTGTCCTCACATTGGCTCATTCTGCTGTGTAGACTTTCAATGGAGTTTTTCTCTCCTGGAAATGTATTTGCATCTGTTTTATGGGTTCCATTTGTTTCCTATGTTGGGATTCCATCATGTTCCTCAGCTCCTCTCTAGATTTATTAGTCACGTCTTGTACTAGGAGCCCAATTTCTCCTGTTATCTGAGAAGTCATTTCTGATTTCATTTTTTCCAGATCCCCTTTTGTTGCCAGTTCAGTGGGTCCAGGTGGTTGAGTATCAGAGTATTCCATCTCATTTCTCTTTGGGGTTGCTCTAGGTGATCTGGAAGTCTGGTTTTGAGACTTATTTATGTGTTTTCTCATTTCCACTGGGGTGGGGGGCTGTTAGCACCTGCACGGATTACCTCCTCTGAGCTGGGAGAGGTAGGACAGGGGCTGGGAGCAGTGGTAGGGATGGTGACCCAAAAGCCCTTTCCTGAGGGGCTGGGAGCATCAGGAGGGATGGTGGCCGGGAAGCCCCTTCCTCTGGACCAGGAGCAGTGGGATGGCACCTCAGCAGCCCCTACCTCTGGGCTGGGAGCAGTGGGAGGGATGGTGGCCTGGAAGCCCCTTCCTCTGGGCCAGGACCAGTGGGATAGCAGCTCAGAAGCCCCTACCTCTGACCCAGTAGTGGTGGGACTCAGTATAGTGGTCTGGTCATCTGGTGTCCTCTGTGTCTTCATAGTGTGGAACCAGGTGTCTGTACAGAGGAGTGGGGCGGGGGGTGGTGGTGGTTTCCAGTGGATTGTTGCCAGGGCATGGGCTGATTTGGAGTGTTCTGCGTGACTCCCGACCTAGGTAGGGTGTGAACAGACCTGCCTGCCGCAGTGGGCTCCTTTGACCACTTTTAATATCAACATCAACACACAGAGAAAAATCAGAATCATTTGCACCACATCCCACAGAAACCATTTCTTAAATAAGCTGGGATCTGAAGATGATTTGAGCTTTTACCATCACTTCACCCAGGAGGACTTCCATTTCATGCTTCTCTAAGAACAGGTCATAAGGAAACACCACTTCAGGCTCTGGGCTGTTTCTTGGCACCTAAAGTCAGGAGATGCATCTAATTATCTGGGACCCAGAATGGGAAACAGGCTTCATCAGAACAGGTTCTAAGCAAGTAGCCATCTGTATAACTCAAAGTGCCATAGTGTATAAAGTAGAAAAACAAAATGAAAAGTTTACCAGATTTGGGATGACTCCCTGTGACACAGATTCTAAGAATTCCTGAAGACAGTTTGATAAGATAATCACTAACAAAAGAGACTGAAAAACATATCCAGAAATAGAAAAGATTATTTTAAACCAGTGAAAAGCATAATATTCCCATAATATTCCCATAATAATAGAAGCGGGTACAAAAATTGTGTTCTATCTTACCTACGTAAATGAGGATGTTGTTGTAGTCATGGTTTGCGAGGGAATGGATTTAATACAGGACACATAATTTATGTGATTATTTTATAATATTCACCCAAAAAATCAAATGCAGAAGAGTGCAAGAGATCTGTCTACAGAATCCAGCCAAGGGTCAGGATCCCATGGCAATGTCTCCCACAAATCCAGCTAAAGGCCTAGAGCCCAAGGCAATGTTCTCCATGAGTCCAGCCAGAGGCCTAGAGCCTCATGGCAATGTCTCTTGCAAGTCCATATTGAGGATCTGCACCAGGAAGGCCCAAAGGCCAGTGATGGAAGCTAGAAATCCTGTGCCTGTGGGGTAAAGGATTTCTGTCACCAGGCTGAGAGATCTGGACTGGAGCCAGGAAGTGATGCTCAAGGTGAAGATCAGAGCTTCGCTGACAAGAACAGAAACCATTCCCAGGGAAAGCAAGGACCTGAGTTCCTCCTGTGATGAGAACAGCCAAGTTTGCATCAGGAAAACCAGCCTCAGCAAACTTTTCCAAGAAAATCAATAGCAAACAATCTTCCCTTCCAGCTCTCTTTTTATGCCATTGCAACAATCCTCAGGTGGGTCTTCCAAGCCCAGAATCACATTGGTTCAGTTCTGCTGGGCATTCCAAGTTGACCCTTAGTTAATTCACCACAGACCTTTTGTTGAAGTATTAATTGAAGGAAATTGGCTATCATTCAGTCTATTCTTTACTCATGTGTGGCACTAGTGACAGGTTTGCCAGCTGACAAATACCTGTTTTCATAACATAAGAGCTAATAAAATGTGAACATGAAATATTGAACCATTTGAATCTTGTAGACATCTGAGTCACTCAAGGTGGAGACATAAAGGTGACTTAATCTTTTAACAAAGCAAGGTACAGCTTGGAGAGAAAATGAAATGCCAGATATGAAACAGATATTTAATCTCATCCAAAGGATCACAGGCCTCCACTTTTGTGGGGGGCCTTGCCCCCCCCCGCTAGAACTCTTGAGTGCCTTTTACGGGCATGTCTAAGCCTGCTGCAAGTCTACCCAGAAACAAGGAAGTAGCCCCAGTGCCCTCCTCTTGCTCCTCCCCTCTAGCCCTACGGTATATATGTTGTAGCAGCTTCCGCAATAAACGAGACTTGATCAGAAACCTGTCTTGTCTCCATCTCT